TGTATAGGGACGTCATTTTTGAGTGACAGGGTTACATTAAAAGAAGGAGCTTATACAAGGCGTCCCTTGTGTTGTGTTAGTGATTTACATCTCTGCATCAAAGATAAGGGCTATGCTGATTTCGATAGTGTGGTTGAAAATGTCTTATTAAAAAGTTAGTGTGTGTTACCAGACACTGCCACATAGGACCAGTGGTTGCAAATGCACTAAATTATGGACTAAATTTAGTAGGTTCATGTTAGTTACTGTGGTTGAATCTATTTTGTACTGATGCCTGACTGTGAGTTTGCCAGCTACCTAAAAAACATGCTTCACAGTGCAGGACTGCAAATGCATAATATTTACTATATAGATTAGTGATAAAGTGATTGTGCTTCCCAGAGCTATTACAGCTCTCCAGCCCAATATTCCCCCTTTTCAAGAACCAAAAGCACTTGGGAATGTGGAAATGTGTTACCAAGGATGGTTCAGACAGCTGTTCTGGCTCATCAGGCTGTGAATCTTTTTTGCTTTCTGCCTCCACAGGAACAAAGGAATCTTGTCGATTAGATACGGCAGGATTCTCTTGCTCCTCTGCGGATCTCTCCCTTGTTAAACGTCCTTGCATCTGTGCTTCCTCGTCTGAATAGTCTTCTTCTCGTGGATCCAGAGCCAAGCTATCGCTGGACATTTCATCTCCACTGTCTTCAAGAAAAATATGGAGATACATGTTAAAAGAATGAAAGGTTTGGTTTGAGTAATGATTCAAGATGAACAAAGATTGCTTTTACAAATACTGGACTTTAATGTAAAATAATGCTGTTGAAATTATGTGGTTCAAGGAGTGTTGGAGTTGTAACTAAAAAAAAAAGCAATGTATTAACCAGTACTTTTTTTTTAAAGTAATGCATTACTTTTCTTATTTGCTCTCCATATAAAGTGATTTGTTACAGGACCACAACATCACCTGATATTCATTGCCATATTATTGCCGGTTAGGAATATCACAGGAAACCTTGCATATGCCCACATATCAGCACAAAGGAGTACATGCAAAATATCTTTCATTTATGCACTTCAAACAAGTGTTACCACTGAGCAAACAGCAAGGTTGGTGAAAATCAGCCCAAAGAGCACTTCACTGTCACATGTCTTGGCGAGAACAAGTCTCAACTGCATGTACAAAAGAATCGAGGTGGCACTGGCAGTAGGCTATACTGCCTCAAAGTAAAAGCAGTAACTGTAAATGATTAATAACTGTAATGTGATTACTGCCTTTTGGAATCGTAAAGCGTTAGGGACAAATGTAATGTGATTAAAGTCATGACAGACTATGTAATGTGTTACTCTCAACACCAGGTTCAAGCAATGTTGGTCTTTCAAGGTGAATAGGAAAAACAGACAGACTGTCCTTGTTTATCGTGCTTTGAACCACTGAAGCAACCTTTTCATCTCCAACATCCAAGGAAAAATGTAACATGTGATTCACAGTGTCCTTGACACGGTGAAGCTCTAATAAGCTGATAAAGCAGGCATCGTGTGTCACATTGGTCCAAGAGCTGTAGGAAGTGGTGGAAGTGGTGGAAGTGAAGGATGCAAAGGATGAAGCAAAGCTCAGAGATGATGAATGAATGGAGGAAGAGAGGCAGAGGTGTGAAGTCAAGAAGTGGAACTGAGATAAAGTAAAAGCAAGATTAGAAAAAGTTGTGAGAGAATGGGCCTTTTTAAACTGTCACCACAGTTCACAAGAAACAAGGTTCTCTATTTAAAGCACAATGTTCATTCTAAAACAATTTATAATACATTTCCCAAGGTTTCTGAAGAAGAAATTGCAATTACCTTAACCCACACACACACACACACACACACACACACACACACACACACATTCTTTATCTTCACATGTATGGGCACACAGACAGACCCATAAAAACACAGTTAACAAAAAAGAAAAAAGAAAAAAAAAAAAAAGACACAAAAAGGCTTGTGTCATGTGCATCCACAGTCTTATATGTGAATAAATGCTTTGTGTACAGGGGCAAGAACACAAGAACAAGAAATGAACTGGTCATAAATTGTGATCTGGGGCGACATTCACAAAAGGTTATTACTCAAGTGGATCAAATAATCTCAACTGTAATAAATACATAAATAGGGGGATTTCATGGTCATTGCGAGATTATCATGTAAAATGGATGTGATATGTAGAATTATCACATCAAATTGTAATGATTAGTTTTATCAGCTGGAAAATAATCTCCCATGATGGTGTTTGATGACAGACACAATACACTTAACAAGTCAATATTTTATCTGTCTGTCTAATTTAATCAAATTTGTGGCTCATTCCTCATTTATGTGATTTGTTCTACATAGTCAACAACACACACCAGTCATTTGTCAACCAACCACTGTGGATATGTGCTTAAGTTATTTTATGAAACATGTCATCCATAACAACAAGGTCAACTCCACCACTCACCTGAGCTTAGATGTTCTCAGTGGTTCTGCGCTTAAAATTGCTCTCAGAGGTATTGTTAGGAACTTATGGTGCCACTTGGACTCCAAAGGGTAAAATAAGATTTGTAACAGAAGGCAGACAAATAGACGGTGCTCATGGCACCACAGTTCCCACATCCACTGAACATTCACAGTTGTGGTGGAAAAACATACGCACCCTTGGATTTATTAAACTACATTGTGATACATTGTGAATGCTTGAATTATGTATACAATATGGACAACAATACAATCATTTGTGTGTGTTATTAGTTGAAATGTTGCTTGTTCATAATTGGAGCTTTCATGACGTCTGACCAGATTTCCAGACACATTTATATGTAAATGTGAACAAAACCAAACACTTAATTTTTCTTGCTACTGTATGTGTATGTGTGTGTGTGTGTGTGTGTGTGTGTGTGTGTGTGTGTGTGTGTGTGTGTGTGTGTGTGTGTGTGTGTGTGTGCGCACATCGGCACGCATGAGTAAGATGAGTGTATTTTCATCAGTGAATCCTAGAAAACATGTGTCTGTGTGCGCTAAGAGAAGTCAGGGCCATTCTTTAAAGTGTAATTACCTGCCTGTCTGTTGTAGTTTTATGTCAGGTGTTTACTTAAAACCAAGCCTTAATCGATATTAATAAAAAGAAAAAGAACACTTTTTATGGCTGGATCTAAATTGGCTCTGACAGCCCAGAGGAATAAAAGGAAGCCATTACTGCTGAGATCCACAAACAGTTTATTCATATAAACTGCCTGACCACTGAGAATTGTGTTCAAACTGTGGCATGACAAAGTGTTCTTTCAGGAATCACTTTACTGCAGAGACTTGTGCTTCCCCATCCATAAACATGAATATGTTTCTTTCGCTTCATCTTATTTTTGTAACCCGAATCTCAGTCCTCAGAAATTATTGTATGGCCCCTGGAAATCTCAGCAAGTAGCATTGGCTTGAAATGCAAAACGCATCAAATCGATTTATGAGGAATAGACTGTATAATGGAAATATTCTGTGTATACAAATTGTTGTAGTGCAGTGGAAAGCACTGTTGTTTAGCACTATGTATTTGTCTTTGCCGTCAACCAGATTTTTACCTGCAAGATTTAGCTAATTACTAACAGATTTATCTAACTCTATAATCATTACTGGCTTCAAATGGTTTCTAACCCTTATTAACCTGACTGTTTGGAAACTAATTGTCATGCATGCTCTTTTCACATTCCTTCTCCACCTTGCTAGTGGGTGAAATGATACCAGAAGCCTACTTGGGCAATTTCAAGATCTATGCCATAGGAGCAGAGGTCGAAATGTTCTTTCCAAATCACACGATCAAGCTGATAATTGTATGAGGTGTAAATTGGCACTTCTTTTTGAATTACGATTATGAGGAGCAAATTGAATCATTCATCTTGTCTGTCTGTGATGCTATTTATGTAAATAGCAAAGAGCTTTGTTGTATATTCTGGGTGACATGGAGGAGGCTGGGCATCTGATGTTCATAGTTAAAGTCAGTGCTCTCAATCAAATACTGTACACAAATCAGCAGGTAAAGTCCAACCAACACCACCATTACAGAGAAGTCACGCAACAAACAGTTAATAAATTCCTATGAAGAAAAAAGCCATAATTACAAGAACATGGCGGAAAAAAAGATGAAATGCAAAAACCTAAAGACTAGCATGAACCTACAAAAACAGGATACCATGTTTTGTTTGTTTGTTTGTGTACAGTCAGGAAGGAGCAGTTAACAGTCATGTTGGCCGATGCCTTTACTAAGACGTCTAAGAATTTTTGGTAGATATGAAAATAGCCTACATCCAGACCACTCCATACAAATAGTAAAATTAGTAACCAGTAGCCAGTATTTCATTAGCAAAACAAGGAAACACAGTGTGTTTATTGTTGTTTTATGCATTTGTTTTCTATGTTCTATCCTGTTCTGTCCTCTTTACCCTAACCCCAAGCGGCTGGTAAAGGGGAGGTTTTTTTTATATTTAATTTGTTTATTTTTTACTTTCTCTGTAAAATTTTGTAAGGTCTTCAACTTATCATGTGAAGTGCCTTGAAATAGCGTGTTGTGAATCTGTACTATATAAACATAACTGAATTAAACTGAACTGAACTGAACTGAACTGAACTGAATTGAACTGATGTCCTTGCCGCTATCTCAACACCTTCAATGCACACAAACATTGACATGCACACACACACACACACACACACACACACACACACACACTCAAAGAGAGGTCATTATTACGTGACACTTACCCATTAATAGTTCCTCTTCCTCCCTTATTTTCACAGCTGCAGAAGGATTCTGTGTGACATTTACGAGATGTGACGATGGGCTGCAATGTGTATCCTGATGTGACACAGTTGAGTCGTAGTTACCAAATATTGGGGTAGAGCACATGAAAACTGCAGTGTTTCCATATGTTGGAGTTGATCTATATCCAGAAAACACATCAGCAGGAGGCTCATTAAGTAGAGATAACCTTGATAGGGTTTCTGCAGGTATCTCATATGGTGTAAGGGTTATCTGTGATGGACTTGGTTCTAGGGATTTTGGTGATGGGTGTGGACTGGAGGACCCATGTGACAAAGGCAGCTTGAGTTGATCACCTAATAGAACAGCGTCTGGGTCACAGGAGGAATGTTGAGATTGCCGTGGGGCCATCAGATTGCTTCTTGGTGATTCACAAAGCTTTGGAGATGAGATTGGTTCTGCGAATAACTGGGAAGATTGGGGTTGTTCTGCCAAGAGAGATGAGTCTAAGTCTTCTTGTAATGGAGCTGAATGGTAAACTTTGGGCAGCAAAGTTGAATCAGTAGAGCTTGATGGTGAGACTGTGAAAGTAGACCGTAGGGGAAAAGATATGGATGGAGAAAGAGAGCGATCCTCCTCTGGGACTGGTGAACTGTTACTAGCCAAAGCGAAAACATCAGCTGAAAATAAGGGGATTTGGGACTGGGAATCTGGTAATGAGGACAAAAGTTGTGGCGTTCCACACTTAGCTTTTGATTTATGAATAGTGGGAGACAAAATGGACCTTGGTGACTTTGAGGTTGGTGTCTTGATTGATGCCTCTGAAGTTCTTGAAGTCTCACTAGTGGGGCATGCTGATGGCTTACTTTTAGAGGGCACTGCTGAGCAAAAGATACAAAGAAACAAATAAAGTAAAAAAATAAATAAAACATTATAAAGTAAATTAAGTATTTGATAGCATAATGTTTCATAAACATGGCTCAAAAAAGTTGAAGGTTTTCCATGCAGGATTATTAGAACCCTGTGGATTACTCCATAACTTTTACAGCTTACGAATTTACCACAAGCATGATTTTTTAATTATGTTTTTCAGTATCTGCTATACTGGATTTTATTTTGACTTTGCCAACACATGCTTCTTTCAGGCATCTACTTTTATATGCTTTAAAACATGCTCTAGTTGCATCATTTTAAATTTTACTAAACCTGCAATGTCATACCACACTGTCAGTCTACTTAACAAACACATGACTGTCAGCCATTTGTCCTCGTGAGCCATTGCAGAGTCCCGACAGCTGTGCTTCCATGCAAAAGGCACATGAATTTACAAAAGACTAGTCAGACTGCATACTAACATACACTGTTTAGTGTTAATTTTGGGGTATGTTTGTATTTCTGCACATGCTAGAAACAGTTCTATGTGTAAATAGTCCACCTTTACTCTGCAAACCCCTGCAAAACTGGGCTGAAGAGCACCAATCCTACTTTATGTCTGCTTTGTATACAGAAATCTCAACAGCAAAAATTCCACTTTAGCTTATGCCTATAAAATACACAGAGCTTACATTTAACTATGCGTTCTGCTTGTGAAGTCTGAGGTTTGGATGAATGGAGCTTCTGAGCTGTTTTGGGTTGTGGTTTAGACTGTCTGGATGGTTCTGTCAGACCAGGAGAAGAGTGGCTGACTCTGGAGGACCCACTTTTGTAGAGGGCTGTTTGGGACTCCACCGTATTTCGTTTCCCAGAAATCTGCCGAACAGAGGGGACCCTGTGTGGAAAATAGAGCTGTATTAGTGCAGACCATTTACCAGAGAGTGAGCCTATGCCCACCTGCTAATAGCTAAACATAACTTTCCTGGCACTTGACCCTGTTATAATTAAAGGCCTTAGCAACTTTGTGAAAGATTTAACTACTTTAACTTTATTAATAGGATTCATTAATATTTACTGTCTGAATTTTGAATAATGTTGAGTTGTTTATCCTTCACCCCTGGTACCAGCTTCTGCAACAATGCTGTTTCTGGTTTCTTAAGATGTACTCAGCAATGAGGTGAAGGGATATGACAATAATTAACTTCTTTGTTCTCAAAGGAACAAACACTTAATTCAATCAAGGGGAGACCTGCTGTTCACATAATTGTTTACCAGCTGCGCAGAAATGTTCAAAAATTACCCTTCTATCCCATAAACTGAGTCATCTACTGAACTATGACACAAATGTATATTACTGGATTTTATATTAACTCCAAATTTCCCTTGGAGTACATTTCAACAGTAAAATTATGGTGTTGAGTTTGATCACTGAATATACACTATCAATAATTATCATTATCACTAAGTACTAATATCAGTTTTTGATACAAGCAAAAATTAAGTGAGGTATTTTTCTTATTTCTCTTGAACCAACATCAATCCATACTATACAGTATTGATATGCCATTGCGTCACATGCACAAGCACTGAAGGGCCTTTTGAGATATTCTTAATATTCTTTAGGTGTTGGATAAGCAGGCCTTGAACCCACACCTATTTTTCAGAGGCATTGATTGTTGCTGTGGTACATTCTCGTGAAAGCATGGAGATAGTCAATCCTGTTTAGTAAATCAACAATTTTCTGTAGAATTCCCCTGTCTGTTGGTGAAATGCCATGTTCCATCTTCTGTATGGAAGACAGGTGAAATTCAGTTAGACCTGTGCAAAAAATATGAATGCGGTCCATTCCGGGTTATGATAGATATTTTTTAATTGAGGCTTACCCTCTGTTGTTGTCCGTCTTCTGTTCCGCAGCGCAGATTTCCTTCATGTCCCTGCATGTCTGCGGGAAACAAAAGAGATCAGTGTTATCTCAACTATGAATGGGACAGAGATAAAAATGTAAAGAAAAAACGTTGTGGTGTCATAAAGCCCTGCGTGCAGGTGCTAAGTTGATACTCCCCCATTTGCCCTGTCAGTGTGTTTTCAAGTTGGTAAAATGCTCTTAAATGAAACACTTGAGTCATTCTCACCTCATCCAGGACTTGTATGACAAGGCACGATTCAGGTGTAGTAATCTGTGGCTCAGTCCTGCCCCTGCTGACAGGAGCAGTGAACAGTGTTGCATAGTAGCGACGAAAATCTTCTTCCTCAGCTACAAACACACACAAAGACAGTGTGAGAGGAACAGAGAGCTACACTATGTGTAGTAATGTCACAGATTTTTTTTTGTTTTGTTTTTGATGCTCCTGTCATTATTGATTTCTATAAAACTACTTTAAGGAAAACAAAGTTTCAGAAATAAATATTTTTCTGAAGTATAACTGGTTCAATAATAGGTTCATTTGTTCTTTAATAGTAATATTACAGAGGATTTAAGAAAATTGTGGAAGACATTTAATATTCAACGTTTGCACTGACAGGAGCATTTATCATTTAATATGCAGGCTAATGTATCAATCACAGGCCATGCCAACAACCCCTCAGCCCTCTGCTTAACTCCCAGGTCAACTCTTAACTTTTGGCATTCGCACAACTTGTCTACTGAACTTTTGCTGCGCTTTGGCAGCGCTGAAGGTGACAATGTGTAAACTTGAATGATGGATATAAGTTTGATGTAAGATAAACAGGGGAATTGCATCAAATCAAATATTAAATAGAGTTTCAGTATTGTCGATTAAGTTTTTAGCAAGTTCAGGGTACCGCAGTGTATAGTGAGGCAATGCATTGTCACTTTTGACAAAAAACTTTGAAGATGGGTCATTATTACAGGATTGTGTATAATATACTATCCATCAGATAGTACAATCAAAGTGGTATCTGATTGGTCCTAAATGCATTCTATGGCATGTTGATGACCCCAAACATACAGCTACTCTCAGAAAGATCTTCAGCAACAAGAACATCAATCGAGGACTACATGAACAGAAGCCTAAATGCACCAAACAACAGTGGCAAGTTCTGCAAGATGCGTGAAACAACCCACATGCAAGTACTTCAAAAAAAATTGTGCACAAGTGTAATGAGGAGAAAACCTAATTTGATTTCATTTGACACTTTTTTCAGTGTACTATAGTAGATTGACAAATAAAAATATTCATATTTTAAAAGCATTGCCCACTGATTTGTGAGGCCAAAAGCTTTTACCCAGTGCTGAATGTTGTTTGTTTCTAGTACCATTTATTATCTTGTGCCTGTGAAAGATGCTGATGGACATGGCTGAACGTTTGATACCAACAGAGAAATTCTCTTCTCTTCTACTCCCTTCCTCCAGGGATACAAAGTCGGGGTCATAGAGAGCAGCACTCTTGGGTCTGTATTAATTTATTATCTTGTTTAAGCTGAAAGATGTTGCTGACACAGCAGCGGCTGAATGATGGTCTCACTGCTGAGGACACGACTCGAAGTACAGCAGGCACATGTGGTAATCTACAGTTCCTATATGTCTTCGTGATCTGGGAATATGTGTAAATATCAAGGAAGTTATTTCAGTTTATACGGTTATTTATGCAACGGTGTACCATAGCATTCATCTTCTGACTTTAATAGGCACATGAACACATATTGTAATCTACTGCATATATTATAAAAACTGTAAGAAATCTTTCATTTTCTTTCTGTTAATTTGTATTTTTTTCAGTCCATCTTCCCACGGCTGTTTTATCACTCTAAGTTACCTGTACGTGCCACCTCCTTCTCGCTCTCTCCCTCTTTCTCGCTCTTATACTAACAATCTTTCTATCATGTCGCCACATGGGTCTGACAGCTCAGGAAAATGAGAATTTAAAACACGGGGGTGCTCCCCACATGATGCCGGAAAACAGCTTTTATTATTCATGGACACACACATTCCCCACCCTTTCATATTCAAAGACAGGAGAGGAGGAGAAACTCTGCAACCTGTTGTAATTGACATGCATTAGAAAAGTTTGAAGCAGGTGGAGGGAATAGTTTATCCACTGTTGAACAGCTCGACATTTCCCAAAGACACTGCTGTCTTCCTCACATCTGCATATGACTCAAACAATCAATTATTAAATCGTGAGCAGAGAAATGAAAGTTATGATGTGAATATATGCGTTTTTAATGGAGATGGACTGGTACGTTTATAAGTTAGAGTATAATAACCAATATACTATGACTGGTTTGTGCAAGCTACAGAAATATGAGGGAACAATGACTTCCTAACTTGCTCAAAGCACATAAGAGGTGGAAGTAAATGTGCAAGTTGCCAAGCTCTATCTGGATCTCAAGGGTTATGTGTTATTATTTGTCTGTTTGACTTAAGGTAAACACCAGCCTGTTAAAAACAAATTAGAGTTTAGGGGCAGCCAGGGCCCAGGTGGTAGAGCAGGCTATCTACAAATCATACGGTTAGTGCTTCACCTTGCATAGCAGCTCTGTATCCATTGGTGAATGAGAAACACAATGTTAGAACCTTGATAAGGTCAAAAGGTGCTGTTTCAGTGCAGACCACTTACCATTTAGTTTAGATCTAAACAATCTTGTATGTTAAATAGAATGCAATGCTCTTAAGAGTAGAGTATTTTGCAATTAACATCACAGCATAACTATTTTGAAGTGATAAAAAAATTCTCCCAAGTAAATGACTCAGACTTCAAGGTCAAAAAACCAAGATCTCACTGAAAACTGTAAAGTCTCCTCATAGCTTTCTAAACATTACAATGGTTAGTCATAAAAGTTAGTTAATGGCTATTTTTTTTGTTCCTAACAACAACTAAATAAAAAAAAAAATCATCATGTTCTGGGTCATATTGGTAGCAATAAGTTTGAGAGAAGAATCAATCAGAATGTGTGAAGGCACAATGGAGAGCTGCTGCAATATTCATTTATAATATGCACCTTCATCTTTTAAATCACAAGGACAGTTTCAAGAGATATTAGTCAGAACTCCATATTATTTTGAAAATTTTGTGGCTGCTTCATATAAAACATTACTGTGGTGAGCACAGGGACCTAATTTAACCTCAAATATTTGAAAAAAAACATCTATTTGAGATAGACAGCTATGAGGAAAGGGGGGCAAGCAAGGACTTGGAGATCCTAACGAGGTCACAATCAGCGTGCATCTTGATTGATGTGATGAGAGGCAGTTGACAGCCCCAGGGTCCAGAGGTTTGGAAGGGGAGAGATAATCCTGGTGTACCCATCTCCTTTCAGCCTTGGCTTGGGGGCACAAAGTCAGGATACTCCACTGACTGATGAGCTCCAGGCCGTGAGCTCCAGACTACAGGCCGAACCCCACCTCCCTCTCCCTGCCCCATTCCTTACCCTGTCAGGCTTGAGCCACCTCTAACAGCCCTCTGCCCACACAATCACAGGCAGTGATTACCCGTCACACTGCCACAGATGGATGGGCAGGCACTGATACGTCTGACCCGTCGAGAGGGAGAGATTTTGTTATCGTGTGTTTGTATATATGTGTGTGTGTGTGTGTGTGTGTGTGATGTGCATGTGTGTGTGTGTATGTGTGAACATGCAGGTCATCTGTCAAACAACTTTGTCCTGAGCTATGTTTTTGTTTGGTTTGGGAGCTCATTTGTGGTGTGTGAATCAGAAAGGTGGGGTGTACCGCAAAAGGAAACAGTTCTCATGGTTGTATGTCAATGCCCTATTTTAATGTCAAAAGGTCTTCATGGACAAACAGATGTGCACGTGTATGTGGTTGAGTCCATGCATGTGTATTACCGGTTAGGTTGTTTGCAGTCTCCTCCTCAGTGTTTGTAGTAGGTTGTGATTTTAAATCTGTGCCAAAGGTCACTAGAGGATAAGTTTCAGTTGGTGTTCTGGAAACACAAAAGTCACATTAAGATTAGTAAATAAAGCTGGACCCTGAACAAAAAAGCAATATAGCAGCCCCATATAAACAGCACACATGCTGTACCTTGTCAAATTTGTCCAGTGAAAGGCAGGAAATGGAGATTTTGTAAGCAGCAGTGGGAGCTGCTAGTGGTTTATACTCTTTCTTCCTACGTAGTCAAAATCCTCAAACCTGTCAATGTTTGTATTTTCTATGGCTACTCAGATGGGCATATTTAATCTTGTCAACTGCATGCCTTTTTTCAGTCCTCCATACATGTACCGGTTTTTCTCCACACATACAGTACTTTGCATGCAGGAGCCTCTCTCGCCTGAGGCTGTTTGCATTTAGGCTTTCGCCAGAGAGCAGTAAAAAAGATACATGTCACTCTTCTGGTTTCCTTTGGTCTTGTATTTTTACCTCTCCTTTGAGATACATGCTTGAATCCTTCTTAATACATAATATATGTTATATATAAGACTTTATTATTTATATTATGAAAAAGATACAAGATAAAACAGAAGATAAAGAAACCTTCAAATGACAGTGTCTAGTTTAAGCATCCACAGAAGCAAAAGAAATGGTGCAATGTCCTTGAGGAGGATTTTAAATTCCTAAACAATTACTTTATACCCTGTAAATAAAAACCAGAGGAGAGTTTCCCTTGTGGCAAATTATTTAGTCTTTCTAAAAGAGAAAATTAAGATACAATGCAACTACTTAGATGACATTTAGAGACAAATTATGGACCTGTATCATTGTGTGAACAGGAGATGATGTACTGCTAAGTGATCTACAAGACAGGCTTTCACAGCGTGTCCATTCTAATTTCGCTTACTAATCAAAAACAATGTGTCAGTTTAGGTTTAAGCATCATTTAAACATCTCCACTGTTGTTTTTTGTTCTCTGCAATGAAGCAAAAAAGTAAGAAGGATGAGCCTTTCAATAGAACCATTTTGGCTGCCATATTTGCCCTATTTACAGAATTTACTTTCATCAAATTTGATATATGTGTTAGAAGAGTTTTAGAAAAGTCATCACACCTATCAGCTGTGGTATTTTGACCAACTATTCAGATTCTGTGTTTGTACTCTAAACTTTGGCTCTAATGAGATGCAAGATGATTTCTAGAAATCACTTGAATAGTTTGGGAACCCTTCATTCAGAGGCAAACACTTCTTCAGAATATACACAAGTAACAGACATTTCTCTTTCCAATCTAAAAACCTAATGGCTCTGCCCTAACTGTTCATGATGTGACTGTACATAATGTTCAAGAATTGGGATTTTTTTTTTTGTTCTTTCACCAACATTTCCTATTGTGTGTAGACAAAATATGGTGGCTTCGTAGTGGTTCCTAAGAGTCATAAAAGCCATTTCCCTTTTCATCGGAAAATAAAAATGCAATATTACATCAAGCCAGACTTTGGTCTTAAATTTGGCACAAGAAATCTGGTACAGTCAAAATAGGTCTTCCAGATGCAGGTAAAGGCCACTTCAGATCTCAGGCCTATGCCTGTGCAGGCTTTTATTTCAGGGTTCAGTGCCTTGATCACAGATACCTTAACCGCGGCAGTTGATGGAAGAGCGAGCATTCCCTTACCCCACCCACACTGCCCAGCAAGCTCAGGAAATCAAACTGATGCCCCCCTGGTCACAAGCTTGCTTTATGTAACCTGCAGGCCACGCACAAATCTACTGAGGTGATAGAGTTTACGACTCTAATATAGCTGAACACTTTTAGCAAATTCTTTAAAGCTCCTTCCTCCTGCAAACTCCCCCCTTCCTTTCACTCTTTTCCCCCATTATTATTGAAGCTTGTTAAAATTCAACCTCTCCTTCTTTCTTTCTGCCAGCCAGCCAGTCTCCCTGTCTCTCCATTAAGCTCTGCCACCATCACCGCTGCAGGCTTATTGCACTCTAGATTGGCTCTCTGGTCTATTCCACAGTTAAAGGCAGCTACAGCTGGGGACTTAGAGCATTCCTGCTCAGGCAGTCAGAAGGGCCTAAAACTGCACTCTGCTCTCCTCTCCCCTGACCTGCTCTCCAGTGGACTACTCAGCCCAAAAGGAGCCGCTTAAATAAAGGCTGTAATAATGGGACCTGCTGAAGCCAAGCCCGCAGGCAGTGTACTGCACAATAAGTGCTAAGAAACTGCTTTGTACACTGGTGACTTATGTAGGCTGACTACAGAGACCAAAAAGAGGAAGGAGAGGCATGTACAGTAGTAACAGAAGGTGTGTAATATGAAACCTGTGTGTGTGCACACATGGGGAATTGTATAGTTGTGTCCCCATTTATGGAAGCAGCGTGTGATGTGAGGAGACCTTGAAATGGACCCTTTGTGCACAAGTGGTTATATTCATGTTCCCAGTTGTACATGTTGTGACCTCAACAAATCGTAACTTGGCGACCTCTGTATGTGACTGATAAAATGTTGGTATGTGTGTACTGTATCGTACAAACACCTGGTGTACATGGTTACATCAAGACATGATTGGGGGGAAAAAAAAAAAGTCAGTGATGTACCATCTAAAAAAGAAAGTAAGAAATAAAACAAAAGAAACTAACAATCCTGAAAAAAAATGTAATGTATTTTAGCATTACTACTGTCTTATTATATGTCTGAGTATTCAATTCCATCTTAGTGGTTTTATGTTAGTTTTAGTTTGTTGTTGTTGCTTTTATAAGAATAGGTGCAAGACAGTGTGAGCACCACGCCTTGTGTTGTACTTAGAAAAGAAACGATGAATATATATATATATATATATATTGCTGTAAAGGCAGAAAACACAATTGTGAGCTATCTCTGTTTTCTTCAGTTTGAAAAATTATTCTAAACAAAAAAATATAAGTTGTCAGGCCTAATGAGGCGTCATGGAGCCTATTGCCCAAACCCCATGACAGGAGCTTCTCCACGGTTAACAATATGTGCTGCATGTGTGGTGCATGTGCACTGGAGTCTGTACCTGCGGTGCTTCTTGAGGCGTAATCTGTCCAAGTGGGTAAGGCTGTTTTCTTTGAACTCCACCTTGACAGGTAGCCTCTCTTCTCTCCCTTCTTTTCTTTGTCCTTCAGCTTCTCTGTCTGGAGGGAGGTCAGCCTGGGTCGCCATAGCTGACACTGATACTGGAGGAATATGGACAGGGGGAGATCGCACGAAATAAAGTTAAGATAAGAGGAGGAAAACATAGCCTAAAGGAAAGAAAGACAAAGGTAGAAAAGGAAGCAGGAAAACATAATCCGCGAGCTTCTCAATACACCTCTCCTCAAGAAGTGAGAAAACACCTTGTCACCATGCCAAAAGTGCCAAAACACAAACAGACAGGAGAGAGCCCCCTGGGAATAAGAAAAAGATGTACACAATACAAAAGGAACATAGTGAGCGCATGAGAGAAAAGGAAAGATAGAAGTAAGAAAGGAAAAGAGAAATGTTATGATTGTACTCCAGACACTTTGGCAGTCCACAGTGGCAGCTTTAAATTGGGCCTGGGTGCCATTGGCCTGACAGAAATAATTAGGGCTGGAGGGGCTAGCAGCAATTTGCAGAGCAGAGCGAAGGGAGAGAGGAGCAGAGTCTGTCCAAGCAGTAAAGCAGAGAAAATAGGAGGTCTAATAAAAAAGCACAAACACCTAGACACGTACACACAAAACCTGGAATAATAGTGCTAATAATGCACACCCACATAAACCCAGACACACAAACACTGTTGCGCATGCGCACATGTAGAAACACAGTGTGAGTGAAAAGCCACAAAATTGCCTGACACAGTGGAGCTTTTACATACACGCATACCCACAACTGAGGCGATTAGTGCTGTGGTGTGGAGTAAGGCCACCCCTAACACTCCTGTCATTATCTCAATATGCAACAGCCATGGATTACCCTCCTACTGCAGTGGTAAGCACTTTCTGTAGAAGGCCTTAACAGATCAGAGCACAGACAGCGAGTGGGGAAGCAGGAAAGATGAGGAAAACTGCAAAAATGGGAAGAAAAGAGGGAGGAAGAGCTAAGAGAAGCATGCAGTTGGCAAAAGCAATAGAACATTATAAAATATTTGGTATTTTTCAAACGTATGTATTCATCTGATACCCATAGTTAAGTAGATATAAAATGCAATAGTCCATATACACTTAATTCTGCTCCTCTGCATGGTGCAACCTACCACTCCTTAGAATAATAAGTGCACTTTTTATGCTGTTACTGTTTACTTTTAATGAAGTACGCTTACGCTACCTGAAGTTCCACTAAACAATATTTGGATCCTGATTTGTAATAATAATTATATAATGATCGATGCTGAGAAAAGGTACACTTAAATTCTGTAGAACTATAAATGCTTTCCAACAAAAGGATTAATCCCATTTTCTGCCTTGTGTCTATGCAGTTCACCTGGTCGGACAGGTATCCACAACACATTTGTCCTGGGTTCTTCCTCTCCTCCATCGCTCTTCTCCCCTCTCCACTGTCTGAGAGCCTCCTGGAAAGAGCTTGCAGACTCCTCCTCATTATATTCCCCAATGAGAAGAGGGGATGGGAATCCTTTATTATCATCTTCAAATCTTCCCACCATCGTTTTCTCCTCTCCATGATTCACAACCAACACCTACAACAAAAGGAAAATCTTGTGACATCAGAACTTGACGGTCACAAGGAGACTTAAGGCTAAGGCTAAGACTCATTACTAAAGCTCAGCAGTAGCACAAATCCAATACTACTAACAAATACTCTGTTTTGTGATATACTAACACTGATGAGTATGACTGTGTACTAGGCTGTTGCATGACTAAATATACTTAATGGTGGAAGCAGTTAAAAAGATTTGTATTGTGATGACACGCTACCGTCTGCAGGCATAATAAGAAAAAACATGTCTTTAAAATTTGATCTATGCAAGCATGGCTGTACACTTGGCTGTATTCAAGGAATCTTAATCTATCTTCATGGTCGACCTGAATATTAGCTCAACTGAAATTAATTAAAAAATATATATTTATTTTCTAGGATTAATGTTCATCAGAAGTAAAATCATAAAGTGATTTATTGCATTACATACAAATGTCAGGCTGATCAACTTAAAACTCAGTAGGCATTCAGCAGTAGTTGTAATTTTCTCATCCCTAGCTTCTAGAAATCATGATAAAAAAAGATGAACAAGGTCTGCTTACAGCCCAACTAATTTAACTCTTACATCTTAGATTGACAGTGATAGGACAGATTAATGGTTTCTTGCTCCTGGGCCCCGCTGAATAATATATTAAAAGTATTCTAGGAACCACCTTCAAATATGAATTAATGGAATTAGGGGGACGATGCAGTCTAGTCTACACACTGGTAACGTGGGTGACATCCATTAATGTTTAAAAGAAATAGATCTCAAGAATCTAGTATACAATGGGTTTTTTTTCCTCTTATACATTCAGCCCATTACCTGGATTTCAAACATACTGACCTCAGAGTCAGGTAAGGAAGTTGTTGTGGCCTCTCAGATGGGGGCATCTTTAAAGGATCTCGGCTCTATCTGAAGTCTAAACATGTAAGTTGAACACTAGTTTGATATACACAGACTTTTTACAGTACCTTCTGACCCCAGCTGTTCGAAATGACTGTTGTGTGAATAAGGTCAACTGAGCTCTGTGGTGCAAAGAGTCTGAAATGTCAATCTAACAGTTTTTGCCAGACCTACACTGCTGGAGGGCATTTTTTAGTCCAAAGGTACATGCAGTTCACAAGCCTGCCTGTAGATACAGCCTGTGGATATAGCGTCAATTAGGGTTTGTATGAAGTCTTTTCAATTGACTCACAGGGTGCAGAGGTAAAAACTCACACCGTGCAGAAGCCTATTTGATATGTTTCTACCACATTGTCACAGCAAGTAAACTATAAATGGAGAGAAATTTCATTCACCGATCAATAAGTACTTCAAAACAACATACCTAAATATAAAAAACACTTGTTGGTACAGTTAATGTTAAAAGGACATTTTTTATGACTACTCTAAAATATTTTGAAAAATCTATAAATAATGTATGGGCAAAATGCACAAAATATTGTTATAAAGTAGCATTTGGGATGTTTGATGTGTCAGTCTTCCCTATTATAAATCCATCCATCCATTTTCTATACACCGCTTAATCCTCACTAGGGTCGCGGGGGGGCTGGAGCCTATCCCAGCTGACTCAGGGTGAAGGCAGGGGACACCCTGGACAGGTCGCCAGTCTATCACAGGGCTACACTTAGAGACAGACAACCATGCACACTCACATTCACACCTACGGACAATTTAGAATCACCAATTAACCTCAACATGTTTTTGGACTGTGTGGGAGGAAGCCAGAGAACCCGGAGAGAACCCACGCTGCACGGGGAGAACATGCAAACTCCACGCAGAAAGATCCCGGGTGTCCTCACCGGGAAGCGAACCGGCAACCTTCTTGCTGCGAGGCAGCGGTGACAACCACCGCCCCGCCTTGCAGCCCCTATTATAAATAATCTGATTTTTAAGGCTTTGGCCTGACGATTGTGTTCACAGCAAGCATTTACATGAACTTCATTTGTGTTGTCACAATAAGAAGCCCATGAGAGGGCACATGCTCTGATAAGGCCCAATATCTGTACACAGTAGTGGCTCATCCTATGAATAATCTGCCTTTTCAACATTTCTCTTAAGACGCTTTCTTCTTTTGTTTAATCAAAAACTCAACACAATGTGCATTTGAGTTGCAGGGGAGCAAAATCACTGAGCTAGTTGCCATATTGGTTTCTGCAGTGTTTAATGTGGGATGTTAGGAGGAGCATATGGATTTGTTTTGTGGTTGTATGTTTGTCTGTATCTTGGGTGTTAATCAATAAACCATGTGTGTATACTGTATGTGGTAGATTAAGTGAATCAATGCATTTCCATGTAGCTGTATTTCAAACTAAGTTCAGCCCTTGAACACTTATACGGCAACTGTATTCGTGTAGGTGACTAAATAAGTAGTTACCACCTACCTGGCTGCAGTCACGGTGCAATTTCATATGTTTATCCCCAACCTCTGTTCCTTTTTCTGGGCTCTCATCTCTTCCTCCTCTGGTAATTGCGTTGGATGTGATAATGTGATTGGAATTCAGGGTGGCACTGGGACTGGGATTAGGACTTGTAAAGGTACCGGGATGGGAGCTGGGGTTAATCTGCCTCTGGAAGCAGTTGACAACATCTCGAGTGTTCACATGGGTCTGTAAGTCTGTCTGTAACAGAAGGGCATGGTATATGAGACTGGATCAACATTGTTGTTACTGAACAAAATGGCAGCCAGCACATTGTGAGAGAGATGCGATACATACAAATTACTCCAAATAAAACAGCAGGGAAATCAAGGGAATCAGGAGAAAATGGGAGAAGAAAACCCTATATATTTTACACACAATATATAAAAACAAGGGATTATTGTGAATAATGCAACACATTAAAACAAGAAAGTATCTAGTTTTTTAATAAATTAAAGTAGATGTGAAGGCTACAAAATGTTCCAGGGGGCAGTCTTATAAAATGTTGTTTTATTTGTTGCCTGTTTTAGATTTGAAAGACTGAAATGATTCAGCTTTCCTCAGTTTCTCTGGAATGTGTCATCACACACATTATGAAAAAACATTCCTTTCATGTTAACATTACTAAAATGAAGCCCTTTTGTGAAGCAATGCAATCAAGCAGTGAAAAACCAAATTAAAGGCATAGCTGTGCTTTTTGCTAGAAAAGAAAGCCACAGGTTTAAGGAGGTAGACTCTTAATCAGCAGTGCTGTTAATCTGACCACTGTCTACAACTGTGATCAACAAATATTTGTCCTAAGTGTCCTAATTTCCAAACAGCAGACAAGTGATGTATCAGTCACAACATTCCACATATTAAGATAATAAGTACCAAGCAAGCCCCACTTGATGTAGACTGATGACATAAAGGCAACGAGATGAGGCCAATGTAGACAGCTGCCATGAACCCCATTTAGAGGGTACAACCTAATCATTTTAAGTGCTCATACCTACATCACTGGCATAACCTTGAAAGTAGCAACAGTGAACTCCATTTTATGGAGTTAACGTGTCCTCCTTCATTTTATGTAAATGAATCCACAAAGAGTCTGTGCAGAAAGATACTGGTAATGCATGTCAAAAGACAAAGTTGGTATTATACTTCATGTCTGTCCGCTTGTTATGATGCGACATATTGACCTTCTGATAATACTGCTTCCATTACAGTGTGGGCCGAGGCTCTTGTCTTTCCAAAATGCTGCAGTGCTTTGTCCCTTATTGTTTAAATAAAGTTGAATCCCCCAAAAAGCCCTTTTCTAAGCCATTCTACAGACTTTCCTGCGATGCATGCATTCTGCGTCTGTGTTTTTCCACCCAAATCAACAAGCCTGTTGCATGATGCCACTTGTCGCTGCTGATTTGGCCACTCATAGGGACCAAATCAACGGATCCTCAACATGCACCCAATAATAAAAACAAGTTAACCCTCACCCTACCACTACCAAAAGACATTGCCAGTGCTGTGTTTATATTAGTCTGAAAACACTTCGGCAGCTACCCAGGGGTTGGCAAGTTATTCTATGTTAACTAGCCTAGCTTGAACTACTGGCTGATAAAGGGCTGGTACATACAGTCAGCCTCTGCCTCTGTAAACCACTCCAGTGGATATGGACTGAAGCAATCAACATGTGATTGAAGTGGACACTTTCAGCTTTGATTCAAGGAATTTAACAAAACTATTGCATCAACCATTTAGGAATGACAATCATTTTTTTCATAGTCTCGCCATTGTCACAGTCTCAAAAGTAATTTGATAACCAAACCTAATTCTAAATATAACGATTATTTTTAGTACTTTGATGCAAATATTTTGCAGTCAATGACTGCTGGAAGTCTGGAACCCATGAACACGATCAAACAACGAGTTGAGCTGAGTCTCCTCCCTTGAAATGCATTGTCACACCTTTACTGCGGCTGCCTTTAGTTGCCGCTTATCTGTGGGTCTTCTTGCCTTCAGTTTTATCTTCAGTAGGTAAAAATTATTCTCAGATGGATAATGACAGTTGACTGACTCTGATAATAAAGAACATTGCATTTATTTTCCATAAGAGGCTCTTTAGTTGCTTTCACCATATGTTTTGGGTAATTACTGATCTGCATGGTGAAGCGCCATCCTATCAGTTTTGCAGCATTTGACTAAGTCTGAGCAGAAAGTAAAGCTTTACACTTCAGAATTCATCCTGCTACGTCTATCAACAATGAAATCATCAAAAAACACTGATGACCCAGTTCCACCAGCAGTAAAACATGCTAATGCCATAACGCTGCCTCCACATTACCTGTAGGAGGATGATATGGTGTGCTTTAGATCATAAACCTGTCACCATACTCTTCTCTTCCAATCACTCTGGTATTAGTAAATCTTGGTCGCGTTGATCTACAGAGTGTTGTATAAGTATAATCTGTTTTCTCTGTTCTTGATTGTTACCAGTAGTTTGCATCTTGAGGTAAAACCTGTTTTTACATCACTTGATTGTAGACTTAGGCAACAATACGCCTACATCCTCAAAAGTGTTATTGACTTGGTCAAATGTAGTGAAGGGGTTTTTCTTCACCAAGGGGGAAAATTCAGTTGTGTTTCACTTTACCTGTCTACCCCGTTCTGTTTTTTCAGCCTAATGACGGGCTTCTTCACTTGCATTAACACCTCTTTCGAGCACATATTGAGACTTCCAATGAGCTGTTACTAAATACAAAATGGAATCCACTCCAGACTTCCTATCTCCTGAATTTGTCAGGAAATGACAAGAAAAAAAACTCTTAAATTATAGCTGATGGTCGACTTCAATCACATCTTGATTGCTTCATTTCAAATACATTGTGGTCATTGTATGAAGGAAAAATTAGAAAAATTATGTAACTGTTTAAATACAAGAATACAACTGTATTTATTTTTTCACATGTTTACATCCAAACTTGTTGCTTTCCTGTGCGTTTCATTTATTTATTTTTTTCACATACCTAAGACACAACATGGCAGGTTCTCTTTTGACGACAACTAGCTAAAGGGCTAACGACTAAGTCACTTCAACCACGTAAATCTTCTTTTTAATGGACGCTTAGACTCTACCATTGATTACATTACCTGGAAAACAGCTACACTAATAATCCTTTGTAACTCTTACTAATCTCTTAACTCCTACACCTATTAATGATGATAGCCTGATTTTGTGACCTAAAGGAGCATATGGAATCGGAAATGGCTAATGTCACATGTTGCATCAGACTTATCATGCAGATTGTTTTTACATTATCCCATTTTAGCCACAAAGCCATTCTGCTTCTGCCATAGCAGAACAGACACACTCAAATCCTACTTTTTTCCATGAAAAAATTGTATTTACATCGTATGCGATCAGATATCTACACACTGGACAAGAGAAAATGTGAAGCACAGTGAACTGATTATGTATATACCACAGGCTAAATTCATAATTCTGTTCCATTAATCACCACTGACCAGCAGGGCCACAGAGGTTAACCCATCTGTGGACTGGTACCTTCACTCGAAGGTGTCAAAACTATACAATGTGTATTAATGGAAATGCGAAGAAAGTGAAAGCAGTTCAGGCAATGCAGTATAATCATCATCATCATCATCATCATCATCATCATCATCATCATCATCATCATTCTCATCACTGTCACTTCTTCATATCCACATTATTACAAAGTGCTTCACAAAAGGATTAAATCATTAAAACATTAAAACAAATTTGATTAAATTAAATGGGATTTTTTGTTTGTTTGTTTTAAAACTGCTTTACAAGAGGTTTAACAAACCGTAAAAGAGTTAGAAAATCTAATTTCAGCGAGTAAATCCCCAAAAGTCCAAAAACCCCATGCCACCAATCATGCTGAGCTAATGACCAGAAGCCAGCTGAGCTAACGTGGTGTAATGGCTTATATGGGGTTAGTAGATCCTTGATAAAGTTAGTGGCTTAGTCATGCAAAGTTTTGAAAGCCAAAAAGAAAATGTTAAAACCAATGAGGCAATGAACAGGTAGCCAATGTAGGGAGGCCAGTATTGGAGTTAAACAATAAAATATCAACCTAGACTTTAAAAAAAAAAAAAAAAAAAGCATTTGCAACCATTTTCAGATCCTTAAAAGATAAGAATAATCTGATTTTATAAAATTGATTTAATGTCATTATTAAATTTGAAGAAAATTTTGAGAAGTCCAACAAACTGGTATCAGACAGACACGGGTGGTAAGTTGGGTTAGGTCAAATGGGTGCTGTCATTATGACATTATGTTTATTAATGACGTGACCTAAGGGCAGCATATAAATGGATAACAGGAACAAACCCAAGAGTGACTCTTGAGGAACACCATGAGACACAGAAGATTGGGAATTTTCGTCAACAGAAAACATCGTGTTCATGAGCAAAAATGAGCATAAGCAGTTAAGAGCAGACCCTGTATATAATGCTAATACTAATATCCTCCATCGTTTAAACAAAGTCAGTCACAAAATCCTCAGTGAATTCAAGGCTAGGGTCAGTATTATGCATGTTTAAACAACTAACAACAGAATCAGTTGCCTTAAATAAAATTATAGGCATTTGTGGAAATTAAATGGCCATGGAAGACTTGTAACCTATTTGCCTTTAATATATGTTTAGCATTCTCTTGAGGGGCTTAGAGTACTCATTAAGCCATAGAGAAGGATTCAACTTTTATCTTTAGGAATTTGAGAGGAACAGTGTGGTCAAGGGCGGAGTGGCAGATATTGTTAAAAGTATGAGCCATGGCATCAGGGCACTGTTGCTGCAGAAAAGAGCTCAAGGTTAAGCTGTTGGAGAAATTTTTACTGGCAGAATCAGCAGAAGGGACTCGTGACAAAACGGTGGTACAAGGTTTAACAGTGGGTATGAAAAAGGGGCATTGAAAATAAAAGCGTTATGATCTCAGATATTAAAGTCAACAAGGTTCCCATTCAAGGGGGGAAAAAAAACACTAACTCCACCAGGACCAGATCTAAAGTATGACCTAGGAGGTGTGGCACATTTTACAATGTGATTTAAACTACAAGGATCTTTATGATTCAAGAAATCACAGGAAAGGGGATGAGAAGGACATGGTTATTAAGATCACCAAAGATGATATATCAAGTTTTGGAATAATCAGAGATGAGCTGAAAATTCAGGAATAAAAC